GGTCCCAAAAAAAAAAAAAAAGAAAAAATCCAACAGAACCTGAGAAGATCAACCATCGGCTAGAGAACGAGTGATAAAATTACGGTTAGGGTTCTGAGAGTACCGAGCTTGGTGAAGTCGCCGGAGGAGAGGGCGTCGGCGTAGTACTTGTCGTTGTAGCGGACGGGGAAGAGGGCGGTGTTGAGCTTCTTCAGCTGCATCACGTTCTTGTCCCTCACGCCATCGAGAGAGATCGCCATTTCTCTCATCCCTCTCTCTCTCTCTCTCTCTGTCCTCTCCCTGTCCTCTCGCTCTGTTATAAGATCGATAATGGGAGAAGAATTTTGATTAAATTGCTGAGGAGGTTGAGGAGAGAGGGGGGAGGGTGATGGATTAGGGACTCGAGGTGATTGTCGTTTTACGGAAGAGGCGATCTAGGGTTTTCAAGGAACCTAAATTACCATATTTGTAAAATAAAATAAAAAATTCCTTCTCAGTTTGGGGTTTTTAAAAAAAAAATCTATCTCCGCAACTTTGTGAGTTTGTATTTTAATTGAGCAAAATTGTGAAATTAAATCCTAAACTTTGTGACCGATGAAAAACAAAATCGCGAAACTTAACATGACGTTATTAGTGATATCTCAAGTGTTGAAAGAGTATTGGCACGTTGTTACAATGATAATAACTACATTCAAGTTAATGCAAGAATGTTAAGTAAAATTTTAAATAAAAAAAAGATTATTTCTAAAATCACGTCTTTTTTTTATAAAATTACTTTACAAGCCACATCAGCATATGAAATTGAAATCACTTTACACTATTTTCACAACTACAAACAAACAATTAAAAATAATGAAAGCTAACATTGGGACCCATTTTTTTACATTTTCATCCTTTTACATGGAATCAAAAACAGCCCAAAAAGAACTGCTAGAAGGAGAAAGGTTTATTGGTTTTTTTCGTTAGCAACGAAGTTAGGGGTTTAATTGTGTATTTGGCTCAAATATAATAAAATAAACTAAAAACTCAATATCAACAGAGTTGGAAAAAAATGTCAAATTAGTAAAAAGTGTACAAAAATATACCAATATAGTACTTTAGCCTTTTCAAAGGATAGGAAAATTTAAGAAACCCATACTTTTATATGGGGAGAAATAAAAGGAGATTTTTTTTAATTAAAAAAAGGATAAATTAGCAATCCTTTAAGGGGAAATTCGTTGTTCCAGCAAAAGATAAACAACACAAGTATCATCAAGAATAGCAATAACTAGATTATGCTTTTAAAACTTCTCTGAAACTATTATATTATACTCAGAGACTATTCGGGTACTCCTCGACGATTCATTAATTTTCATGGCAAATCCAAGTGATAGGATCTCACAATTTGGTGTATAGTAACGTAGAAGTAGTTGGAGAGTACACTTTAGCTACAATTAATCCAACAGAACAACAGAAAATATGGAAGCTCCAAGAATCCTGAGAATACCAATCACCTCTGTACAGAAATCACAATTACTTCCCTACAAACATTACACACAACTACTCACGATAACAACAACAACAGCAGCAGCAACAACACACAAAAAATATGGGAGCTCTAAGAACCCTGAGATTTGGGTCTGGCTCCAAAACCTAAACACACTCTCCATCTCCCAATTCCACCTAGAAGATAAGTACACTTAGGTTAGATCTCTACTGCTTCCTATTAAATGTCAGATCCTCACATTTTAATATAAAAAGATGAATTTGAAAAAGAAAAAGGAAATGAAAATAAAAATACAAGCTACTGTGTTTGAGAGGCCTCCGGTGCTGGTGACTGCAACAATCTGGTTATGAACGGTTGAAGAGCTGCGAGAAGAGCCTTTGGACACTCTTCATGTGGAAGATGGCCACAACCAGATATTGCAACTAGTCTCTGTAGATGAAAATCAAGGACTGATCAGTTTCATTATTAGAGAGATTTTACTTCACACTACACTAATTTTTTTACTTCCCACTAAATTTTTTTATCTGTTCCAATTTATGCCTATGAAAATCAAGGACCGATCAGTTTCGTTATTAGAGATGATAATTCACATTAATTTATTTATCTGTTGCAATTTATGCCTATGACAGGTCGATGACATTTGAGGAAACATAGCTTCACTCTTCTGAAGAGTACTGAAAATGGTTGTGGTATGTACATCCTAATGTTAGGGGCTTGGCCCATTAGGGGTTTGGATGGTGGGTTGGTTTGGTTGTAAAAAGGTTTAGGACCTTGTATATGTTAGATATAAAATTACAACCCAGAGCCCTAGCTTCAGACTTTTGGTAGGATGATAAGGACCTATGACACAGTAACAGACAACCCAGGTTGAAATCCCATCGGCACGCATTTCTTGCAGATTTAACAAAAATAAGATATTGCTACGTGACTTCAGGTTTTGGCACATAAAAAGGCGCTCAACCTGTGAGGGCACGTACGATATAAAATTATACCCGACAACCTTACCATAACTTCTGAGTTTTGGTAGAGTAGCAGAGACTTTTGACAATATCCACTAAACTGTGGTTTAGGTTATGGAGCATAACTTACATGTCCAAATGGGTCCACAGAAAGTACTACTAATTATTGGAGAACCAACACAAGACCTGGTCACAAAGGTAGGTTTGATAATGTAATCTTGGGCCACATGCTAAAGACTACACAATGCATTACCAATTAAACATGCTTGTATTGATAAAGATCATTCGGCCAGTTACGATAACGTTCTTGTCGGCACAATAGAATAACTATAATAAGGTAGGTAATAGTCAAAAGCTCTCTTACTAATCAAAGTGCATTTTATTACGTCAAAAGACTTAGGAGATGTCGCTAAAGATTTATAAGAACGCAAAAACTTACAGAATTTACAAGTTTTGATGCCATGGCTTGGGTTGATTTTAGTGGGACAAGTGCATCTTCTGCACCTGCTATCACCAAGATAGGAACGTCCTCAACTGATTTTAATAGTGCTGCTGCATTTTGTGGTGAGAGAACCAATTCACATGACAATCTGCCTATCTCATGAAGTGCTTCCTCCCAGCCTTCAACACATAATGGTGCCTGAAATCAACAAGTATCAGCCCTCAGGTCATTACAATTGTCATATACGTTTAAGGTAGACAAAAAAATTCTCATTGATTCTTCTCTTAATTTTCCAACTTCTTTTATTTAATGTTAGCATTATTGTCAATCTTAGTCCTGCATACAAAAAAAAATCTCACTGTATCCTTCTCTTAATTTTCAACCCACACTTTTTATTGATGCCATTGTTTGGAATTGTTAGTCCTGCATGGAGTAGGAAAACACTTACTATATGGTTAATGATGACTCTAATAGGAGTTTTTCCCTTTTTTAGCTAAACAGGTTACGGTCCTTTAACCAAATCATCTTGTTGTAGGCACCTGAATTTCAAACCAGCGTACATGTATATAAACTACCAGAGGGTTGCCTAAGATATTGTACCAAAAGTTCTCTTAGGATAATGCATAATCATGAAATACCAAATCAAAATCAGTGATATGTATTTATAATTATGATTGGACACGAAAGGCATCTATATGATTGAATTAGGAAAGTGTGGTCAGACAACCAGCTCAGCAGAATTTCAGTATCTGCAATGAGTGTTAGTCTGTATATTGTGTGTGAGAGGGAGGGAGGGTGCATAGCATGCGTGAGAGAGAGATTACCTTATAGAGGTTCAAGACTTCCACTGTTAACTTGGTAGAATTATACCATGCACGGCGATTAATGACTTGAGTAATCTCCGTTCGCAGGAGAGGACGGACCACGTGCTTCTTGCCTAGCGTAGTGTGCAGGAGGATCCGAGCAAAGGCAGGAATAACCTCTCTTGATAAGCTGACACTGAGAAGTACAACCCCCTTGACCTCTATCTGAAACATGCATCATGTAAAACAATAGGTTAATAAACTCCAGAGCTGTTATAGGATGTATTTCATGCCATTGATACTTGCAACAATAAATTTAAAATAAATAATTAAATACTAAAGCTAAATTATTATTTATAGACTGCTAGACATACTTGAATTTAAGAAAATAATATGACCAAAAGAGCCAAGACAAATACAATGTACTGAACATGACATGTGTAAAAATATCAGATAATAAGGTAAATAATTACACATAGAAGCTAACTTATTGCAAAACATAGTGATACACTTATATAGCACATATAGTCGCATAACGTAGGTAGGTCTCATTTATTTGATTGAAATCATGTTTACCCGCTAGGTGGTTCTGTGTAGAAGTACTTGGAAGGTGAGAAGTAGAAGAGAGGCAGCAGCCGGTCATATTTGCTAGAAAGCAAACTGCTGTGTCACATTGGACAACTGAGTAGGTGGTCATATTTTTAAGAAAGCTGCTGCGACTGACAATCACATTGAAATGAACATCTGACTATAACAAGCAAGAAAAAAATAATGACAATTGACAGAAACAGTGCACTTTAGAATATGTCTTGAGCATGACTGGTGGAGGTTACCATCAGTACCTTCAGGAATATCAACTAATGCTCTTTTAAATTGGTTAAACTAGGAGTTAACATTTTTACCAAGAGGATTAGGTACTCGCGTGAATTCTCAGCCCACGCATAGAAAGCAGACTTAAGAGGTAAATGCATGTATCAGTCTAATCTGGGATAGAATTAGCTATATCAGCACATAGCTTATTGGACATAATGTTCAATACAAATTACCAATTACTTATATATCACAAAATCTATAGGTAGAGATACATAGCAAGAGCAGACTAAAGGTTGCTTGTTAGATACCAAGAAACTAAGTTTCGACTCTCAACTGTTGGGCAGATTGAGCTTGAAGGCTCGACCTCAGGTTGTTTCAGCATGACTATATTGGGGAAAAAAGCTTGAGATGCAATCCCGTTCTTTTGAACATAGTTATGTAAAATAAAGCTAATTAAAGCTTAGATATTCAGCTTTGCTGAACTTATGCGGAGACCTTGGACTTGAATATAAAATCAATAGATTAATAATATAACATATTGAACGGCTTCAAAGTTCATACACAAATTAAAGATAATATAGTATGATAAGCACGAAAAAATGGAATATAGTCTGACAATTAAATGACGAGTTAGTCTTGTATAATGAAGTTGAACCAAGCTGCTAGTTAACAGCGTGATTAAGTTAAGGGCTAACTTGTAGCACTTAAGTACAGGTGTAAGTGTAACCAATGAGCCTCATAGACAAGTTTCCTCGACTACTTACCAAAATGGTTTCTGAAGAGGCACGTAACTTCTCAGCAGTCTTGAGAGCAAGAAGGCCTCCATCATCATGGCCAACAAAAACCACAGAAGTAAAGCCCATACTCAGGCAGAAAGAAATTAGAAGATCAACCTGCAATTACAATTAAAAGGGATGGTACTCCTCAAACACTGCGTACTAAAGAATTGCAATGAGATTGTGATATCAGATGATAAAAGTCCAATGAATAACTGCATATAACTATTATTTAAATTAGATAAGGAACGTACGTGTCAAAGATCCCTTTCACTACACCAAAACTTTGAAGCCATGGTGAGGGTTGAGGGTTATAATTCTATTCTCTAACATGCCCTTGCAAGTTGTGCAATCATCTTTTTTCATGGGCCAAAACCTGGACTCACACGACAATCTCTTTTTAATCCGTTTTATAGTCATGGTCGGTGGAATTTGCACTAGGTTTGCTCGGATAAATTGTTAAAAGGTCTTTTCTAATATGTCAATACTGCAAAGCTGTTTGGTAGTGACGGTTGAGGGTAATAATTTATATTCTAACAATATGCATTTAATGTCCCAAGCAGTTTTGTTGTATTAGTCAAATTTTAATAATCGATGATCAGTTAATGGAAGAAAATCCCCAAATATTGTGGGTGTTTTCTTTTATAAAAGAATATTTTTAAGCAGTAATATGAAGTAAAAAAATTTACAGTGATAGTGAATAGTGAAAATTTTCAAAGGAAAAATTCCCTGCGGCATGGCGTCGGTATAACACTAATTACTAGTATTTAAAAATGATAAGGACTACAGATTGTTTACAAATATATCAATCATGTTAATTACTTTTTAAAAAAACAATAGCGCACCTTCAGGTGTGTGATATTATCGATTATTTGCTCTAAGAAATATAGCAACAGATTTTCCTGTCCACCAGTGATATAAGACAAAGCTGTGAAGCCTGTGATGATTGTGGTCAAATTATTATCGTGTTGTTCAGACAAAATACTAAGCAATATATTATAGCCTACAGTGTGAAAAGGCAGTTATGACAGCTGTTTCAGACACTTTTTTTTATATTAAAGATTCAACACCAAAGATTTATCTTGATACCACAGTTTAAGGAAATCAAACGATAATTTTTATTTTTTAAAGAAAAGGAAATCCACCTGAGATTCAAGTGTATATGGGTTGGGCATTTGTCTATCTTCCCAGTCCTTCCTGCGTAGACGAGATGTTAACCCCCACCCTGGGCGATCAAAGGCAACAACAGGGCAGCCAACCTGGCGAGCCAAGACACCCATCACGTGCCTCCATGAAAAAACACCTCCACCAAACCCATGTACTAAAACAACAGCAAACTTGGCATTTTCTACCACATTGGTGCTGACAGTAAGAGGTTCAAATATACATCCATCACTTTTGACTTCATCCAAGTTTAATACAGGAATTTCATCAGACAAGAATGAGGATGAAACTGAAGAATCCTGCAGCAGTGGTGCATATAGAGATGAATTTTGAAATTGACAACTAAAGCTCCTATTATACTGATAAAAGGTTTTGGATTGATGCATCAAAGACCCCTCAAGTCTTGCAGGAGAAATGCTTGGTGGACTGCAAGTAAGATTAGATCCATGAAATGGTAAAGAGGCTAAAGAACGAGAGGACAGTGATTCTGGTGAAGTTTGCTTGTAGTGAACAGTTAGGCCTTGGCAAGCAATAAACATGCTATCAGCATCAGCAAGTAAACTGACTGGCAGCTCCTCTTCATCATGAACTGGGGCCTTCCTTTTTGTTTCACTATCACTTCTTGCACTTCTACCTGAATACGGGGTAGGAGAACGCGGAAGCTTTGTGTATCCAGAAAATACAGTCTTGTAGCATAAAACCTTGACACATAAACTAATAGCAGTCAGTAATAGTGAAGGCAGTAATAGGAAACTTTCATTAGCTTCAACAATAGTTACTAAAAGTTCTGTTAAGAAATTGAAAACGAAAGAATTTGAATGGAACATACTGATTCTGGATCTATGCGATGAATCAGGAGTTTTCTCCTGGCTCTGCAGCTTGTCCTGTATGCAACTACAATGTGACCGAATGCAAAAACAACAGATGAAAGGAAAAGAACAGACATTCCCCATGATTTCTTCAAATGAAGCTTTTCTAATCCAGGTGAAGCTTCAGATTCGATATCTACAATAGGTGTAAATAAACAAGCTTTCACCGCAAGAATAGCAATCGAAGCAATGGAGCTAACGGTCACTGTTCCAAGATATGGTCCATGAGAAAGTCCAGGCCCATCACATAAAGAATAAACACCTGATATAAAAAATAACAATATAAATATAGGGAAAAAAGGCCATCCTATGCAAGTAGTAACTATTGCCTAAAAAGACGATATATCTTAATCTCCCATATTCAAAATAGAGAGAATTATCCTTAGTAGGGAATCATATCTACTGTATTGACTATTACTTTCTTCACTGTATAATATTAAATGATCTCAAGATAAGATTTTTCAGAAAGTGTTTTCTACTATTCAACAAGTAACAGCAAATAATACTTTTGTAAAAGCCTAGTTTATAACCATGGCTATATAATCTGGATCAAAAGCTCCAATTTTTTTAATCTCCTTTAATCAAGAAAGGTGGATGCTAAATAATTCTAACTGGACCAAACTAAAAGTCCGGCTGGCTCTTCAATAGAATGCATAACTCCATGGGGGATCATGCCAAAGTGGCATTTTTCTCCAAAAGAGATTCCAAGATAAGACTTATAGGACAAAAAAAATCCTGCTTCCCAATTTCATAAAGCAGGATGAAGAATTTATTTACTTTAGAAAAAGAGAAGAAAGAAAAGGGACAAGCATTGACGTGTTCTCTGGGGAACTCTCATTCAGAGCAGATTATATCCAACGTAGATTTAAAATGCTAGTCATGACATTTATTGGCAAATTTCTAAATTAACACCCAGACAAAACAGAACAAGAAAATGATACCAACCCCCCAAAAAAATCAATGTGCTACATTTTAAAATAAAAAGCAATAACTGTATGCAGATTATCGGAATTGAAAAGGAAAGAAAGAAATAGCTTAACCATACCAACTATTCACAGAATCCTTCAAAATTTCATTCAGGGTAAGATCACTTCCCGCAATTTCTAATGTACAGAAGACAATCCTCATATTCTAAAATGTAAAAGAGTACAGTGTACATTATCCCTTACAAAATACTCTGAAAATTCTGTAAATAATGATATAATTGAGTAAAAAAACATAGAAAATCTCAAACATCCTCAACAAGCTTGATATTCTTTCAGTAAGTTCAAATTACTAGCTTCATCCAATTATAAAGCACACACAATTCTAGAAAGTTAATAAAGGAAAAGAAAACGTAAAATCAATCCTAGCTTGTTATTATGCCAAAATATTCTCAACCTGTTTTATGATGAAATGTTTTTAAAAAAAAGCAATTTTTCTACAAAAAATTCAAAACTTTTCCTCTAAAATCTGAAGTGAACAAAGATGGTCATCGAAAGCAAAACTTATGCAATGAACTCAATAAACAGAAATACCATCAATTATTTTTCCCCTTTTGCAGGCAAAATTAAAAATTAAACATTCTCAGCAAGCTACAAGCTAAAAAAATCAACTAATAGCACAAAAATCAAGCTAGAAAACCTTACAAGTTATGATAAACGATCTAATGATCGAAACCAGAGGAATATCCATCAAACTCCGCCTGAATCCATATCTAATCACGTGCTCCTTCAACCCGTAGCATCTCCCGCACGCGAATCTGGACGCGAGCACCAGCGACACCGAGACGTCACCCATCGCCACCAACACCGGAGCCGAAATCGTCAGCAGCGACACGACCATCGTCAGCATGAAGAACAATGTCCTCAATCCCCTCTGCACCCTCTCGAGGTTCCCCTTGGTCGCCATTTCCGGCGAGCTCGAGAGATCCCCTGTGTCGTAGCCCTAGAAACGATGATCGGAAACCCTAGCAGGCGGTGGCGAGATGACGTAGGCGGTTCCGTCCATGAATCGAAAGGCTCTAGCATAGCTTTGATTCGACCGGAATCGCCATGGCTAGGGTTTCGGAGGTCTCGGAGAATTGAAGGGCAGAGAGAAAGAGAGATCGATGGTGATGATGACTTTTTATTTCAAGAGTTTCTCTCTTTTGCTATTTTGTTCGTATTTTAATGAATTTTTATTTATTTATTTGAAATGGTTCGGTCTTCTCGTTTGTATCGGGTATTAAAATTGGGGTTAACGACAAAATAAAAAATTAATACTTAATTAAGGCGTCTTTTCGTTAATTAGTTATAATTTCTTCTGTTACGCTCTCTGTCATTACTACAGAATGCCGATTTTGCCCTCGCGCTCCTCACCGAACCGTTGGATGCTGCCAGCCGAGATACTTTATGTGGGCCCCGCAAATAATTTTTTGAAGAATGGGGGCCAGGTTGTCAGTAGAGAAAGTAGTGGGGCCCAGTGCCAGGTAAGGGAAGCACGAGAATGAGCTTGCTGGTGGGGGACCCACGAGATTCTGGGTGCCAGTGACGTTGTTTTCTCGGAACTGAGAGATGGGAGGCCGGAGCCCCGGAGCCGAGTTAGTGTACATCTCAGCCGTCAAATCAGTGAGATGATGAAGAGCTGAGACGGCGTACGGCCAGGATTCTGTTAGACTTCTGGATGGTATTTTCGTAGATAAGGACATGTCGAGGGGTGGTTTCGACAACATAGGTTCAGGTCTCGAGAGCGCTACCGTTGGCTTTGGCTAGCGGGGCGGATCGTGGTCGGACCGGAAACCGAAGAGGGAGAAAAGTTAAAGAGTTTATCTACATATTACTCCCTTACGTCTTAATATTTTGAAAGTAGTCCCTCAAATTTGAAATTAGTGCTAGTACAATAGGTTCTCAATTTTTATATTAAATTAATAAATTGTTATCAGATTATCTAGTTGTTTCCAAAAAAAGGGCAGCAGACAGCAGCCGCGCAACAAATTGGCGACCTAATAGTATTCAAATGCTTTGAGGGACTTATTTTAAATTACTCGAGGCTTTACGGGTTAAGAACCGGCTGCTCATATACTGATAGTTACGAGAGGATTCGTAGTCAGGTTCTAATGAGACTCTGGATTGAAAAATAACGGCTAATTAGCACTTAGATACCCTATAGTTTCCCGTAATTTTCACTCATGTACACTTGCTTGTTTTGATAAGATTTATATACCCTCTAGTGTGAGATTTTTTCCCATAAAATTTCCCTTATAACTCTTATAAGCTAATTTCGTAATTTTTTTAGCTCGTGATGTTTATTGCATTTACTAATAATCTATTATATTTCTATTTTAAAATATGACTAGAATAGGTTTAAAGTAGAATATGTTGATGGCTGATATCAAACAGTCAATGACATATGTCAATTGGTTGACGGAGGTCCTCTAACCCTCCGAATGACCGGTTCTAAGGTGTGTTGTTCTTCTCTACATAGGTAGAAAATCGTAAGAGGACGTAGTTGAGTTCTCCGGTTGTTCCTTCGACGACCAAGTCAGTAATTTGCTTAAGTGGAGAACTAACTGAACCGTAGAAATTCTTAAGTACTGTGGGTAGAGATCAAGATATTACCTTTATGTTGAAAATATCAACCATATTTATAGTGGTAATAGAGGGGTAGGATGGTAACTTCGACCGAGTATGGGTTGCCGGCCAAGTCAGCATCTATTTTACAGGTGTCGGTCGAATGGTTGGTCGAGTAGGTTGATCAAGAAATCGACCTAGCCAGGGGTCGACATGTAACGCCTTTTGAGTCGCTCTCGCGAGATATCGGCGTGTTGAGTCGTCAGTACTGAGTCTTTGGCTATCTTGAAGTGAAAAGGTAACTCGACTACGCATAATGTGCGATACTTGTCTGCTATTGATTGGAGATTACTTTTTAGCACTAAAACGTCTATAACAGAATCATTATACATTTAATAGGAAATCCATCAAGCATTAATGGTTAAATATTCTAAAATTAACTTATGACTCTCACATAAGAAATTCCGGTAGAAAATCACCTTGCTTGGCACAATAGTAGATGTTCAAATTTCGACCTTTAGAAACTTAAGGGCCTGTTTGGATTCGTAGGGGGTGAAGGGAAGTTAAGGGAAACTGAGTGAATGGAAGGGAAGAGAAAGGAAGGGAAGGGAATTCCCTTCCCCTTGGTTACACCCCAATTTGGGGGGTAACATTCCCTTCCCCTTGGTTACACCCCAATTTGGGGGGTAACAATTTTTATACTATTAGGGGGTGAACCAAGGTGAATGGAGGTGAATTAACTTCACCTCCTAAGTGTTTCCAAACAAGGTGAATGGAGGTGAATGGTTCCCCTAACTTCCCTTCACCCTCATTCCTCTCAATCCAAACAAGCCCTAAGGGTACGCAAGTGCTAAAAAAAATAAGTGAGAGTATCTAAGTGCAAACCAGGGAAATATACGAAGATGGCTCTACGTGGGCCCAGCTTGGTGCTACTGTTTCGTGGACAGGTGGCCGCACGTTTGTGGCCGGGACGTGACCGGAAGACAAGGCGTATGAGACGGGAGGTAACGGTCGGAGACCAGGGAGACTATTCTCGGGAGCAGTCGTGCGCTGACGTCGCCGATACGCGACGAACTATACGCATCGTATTTTAAAAAAGGAGTTCACCGTTCACGCCTAGCGCGCGGCGGAAATAAGGAGGGGAAAAAAAAGCTGACTCGCTCTTTCCCGTACGCTTGGCGCTTTGTGAGAGCAGGAGCTGAGAAAAGGCATCTTTTTATTTCTCAAAGCCATTGGTAAATGATAAATCAATTTACAATGTCAGTTGTTAATAAAATAAAATGAGAAAATTGTGTCGGCCCCCAAAAGTAGGAACTTCATGTGCTGCTTAACCCCTTCACGTTTCCCATGTGATCTAGCACCTTTAAAATATGACATTTTTGTTGCAGTCCTCTTTTAGCAATTATTATATGTCAGCTAAGCTAAAATTTTTAAAATATCATTGTCTCCTCTTCTCAATCCCTCAAACCCAGCTCTCTCTCTCTCTCTCTCTCTCTCTCTCACACACACACACACACCCCCTATTTATGAAACACACACACACCTAGTATTTATGAAGCAGCTAGCTTACTCTATCCATTTGTTACATTGACCTAACTAACCTCATACTTTAGAGTTAAGTCCTTCGTTTATGAAACTACGTCGGAGTTCGCCGCTGCCGCTCTTCGCCTCGCCCTCGAGTTCGCCGCCGCCTCCTCCCCGCCTGACCCTCGAGTCCAGCCTTTCCCCCTCCCTTGAGTTCAGCCTTAAGTTCAGCCTTTCCCCCTCCTCCTCTCGTCCACCCGAGCTTGCCAATGGAGTTCGCCATGAATTAGAATTGAGTTTAATTGTCGCAAGCTTTGGCTACATTTTTAAGAATTAATTGTTGCACTATGTCAGCACGATTACATTTGTTCAACCTGTTGTATTTATCTCGTTGTTTATGACTTTGTTCTGGATATAGAAGTATGGAATAATCTTGTAGACTTAAATATGTGTATTCACTGATATGTTGGCTTCTATTTCTTTGAGATCCCACGTGCCGATGTCCATGTCTGTTGCATTAAAACCCAATGTATAAGTTTTAAGCAACTTCTCTATCAGAAACTTATGTATATTCGTCTTACTTGTAAACAACAGTTGCAGCTCTTTAAATAGTTGACATGTGTAGTGTTTGTGTCATATGATTCATAGCTTGGGCTCTTGTGTTAGTCCTAACTCACCGCATGCTAGTTCTAGTTCTAATTCATGGCTCTTGGGCTCTTGTGTTAGTCCTTACTCACCGCGTGTTAATTCTAGTTCTAATTTATGGTTCTTGGGCTCTTGTGTTAGTCCTAACTCACTGTGTGTTAGTTCTAACACACCGCATATTAGTTCTAGTTCTAATTCATGGCTTGGGCTCTTGTATTAGTCCTAACTTACCGCGTGTTAATTCTAACTCACAGCGTGTTAGTTCTAACTCACAGCGTATTAGTTCTAGTTCTAATTCATGCCTCTTGAGTTCTTGTGTTAGTCCTAACTCACCGCGTGTTAGTCCAAACTTATCACGTGTTAGTTCTAGTTCTAATTCATGACTTTTGGGCTTTTTGGGCTCTTGGGCTCTAGGACTAACACGCGGTGAGTTTGGACTAACACAAGAGCTCAAGCCATGAATTAGAACTAGAACTAACACGCGGTGTATTACAACTAACACGCGGTGAGTTAGGACTAACACAAGAGCCCAAGAACCATAAATTAGAACTAGACTTAACACGCGGTGGACTAACATAAGAGCCCAAGAGCCATGAATTGGAACTAGAACTAACACGCAATGAGTTAGAACTAACACGCAGTAAGTTAGAACTAGCACGCGGTGAGTTAGGACTAACACAAGAGCCCAAGAGCTATGAATTAGATGGCACAAACACTACACATGTCAACTTTTTAAAGAGCTACAACTATTGTTTACAAGTAAGACGAATATACACAAGTTTCTGATAGAGAAGTCGCTTGAAACTTATACATAGGGTTTTAATGCAACAAACATAGACATCGGCACAGAGGATCTCAAAGAAATAGAAGCCAACATATCAGTGAATATACATATTTAAGTCTACAAGATTATTCCATACGTCTATATCGAGAACAAAGTCATAAACAACGAGACAAATACAACAGTTGAACAAGTGTAATCATGCTGACATAGTGCAACAATTAATTCCCAAAAATGTTGCCAAAGCTTGGGACAATTAAACTCAGTTCTAATTCATGGCGAGCTCTAGTGGCAAGCTCGGGTGGAGGAGAGGAGGGGGGAAAGGCTGAACTCAAGGGGGGGAGGCTGAACTCAAGGGTCGGGCGAGGGGGAGGCGACGGCGAACTCAAGGGCGAGGCAGAGAGCGACAGCGGCGAACTCCGGCGTAGTTGATGAGAGCGCTGGGTTTGAGGGATTGAGAAAAGGGGACAATGACATTTTGGGAATTTTAGCCTAGTTGGCATGTAATAATTGCTAAAAGAGGGTTGCAGCACAAAATATCACATTTTAAAGGGTTGAACCACATGGAGAGAAAGTGAAGGGGCTGCAACGTATGATGTTCCTAATTTTGAGGCCCCGACACAATTTTCCCAAATAAAAAAACATGTTAAATTTTCATGGATTTTATGACA